GATGAAAGCACAGTTATACGTCTATAACCAACACTGACAGAAATCAAAGGGATTATAAGTATGAATTTCATCTAGAGACATATGATTAACATAAATCGACCGGAGAATAAATGAATGCGTAAATGATCTATGTGATTACATATCTGTTATAAAATATAACATGATAGAATGAAAATAGACAGGCTTATTTGATTTGTGAAAAATGTGGAGCAAAACCTTAGTGCGCAGTTCATCATTTTAGCCGGTTCACTCAATATACTAAATAATTGCCATCCAGTTATTATGAGCAGAGATGGATGGTGGTTAGGAGTGGAATCCAGGATGTGTGTTTCCTCCAAATTGGGACTCGTCAGTTGGATGTGCCTGCATCCCGCAGTTGATGTTCAATCACGGACTCGAACCCAGTACCGCTTGCTTCAAACTCCGTCGCGTTATCCACATAGCTACTGAATCCAGATAGCCACTAGTTTGTGCAAGGGGATGAATTTCTATTTCATTTTTGTATTGATTGTTTGAATCTTCCCATTGATATTTAGAAATGCGATGGGTCAGTCTCTTAATGTCATATGTGCATCCTGTGAGGATTGTCTCGATATTGCTGGTTTCAATTTCTGGAGTGAACATCAACTCTGGGATGCAGATACTTCCAAATGACGAGTCTCAAATAGGAGGAAACACACATCCTGGATTCCACTACTAGCCACCATTCATCTTTGCTTAGAAAAAGTTTGCACTTGAAACTATGATCAATCTGTAAGTGTAGGGATTTATTCAAGGAGATCGTGTCAGCAAAACAAACTAATTCAATCGTAGACATCAACAATGAAATAAATAGAAAATATTTAACTTATGGTATTAAACAACATTGTTTTGCAAGTTGAGAATATCAACTCGTTATCCAGTTGAAAAAATAAACTTAATAGAAATTTTATGTAAACTTGAGATAAACTAATATTTACAAAGTATGCAGATATCAGGTGTTTAGTCGACGTTATTTAGGTCAATAAATATTGAGTAAATCAATAAACGCTCAGTTGTTTCTAGCCTACGTACCACTGTGTTTTCTACTTTACTTGAAATATATATTTGTTATTATTTATCCATGATAGTACATTTTAGTTACTATGACAGCAAAACTGATTAACAAAATGTTATAATGACTGAATTAGTAAGCAAATAATTTGCCAACTGGCACTTAACCTCATGTGGATCATGAAATCGAAATTACTAAACTTATACGAAATACCCAACACTGAATGAAAGTGAGGTTGAATTGATAGGCATCAATAGGCTAATACAAAATCAAAAGGGGCGGTAAATGATGAAGTTAATGTATTTGAACAAATGTGACTGAGAAATTATGCCAACTGAAAATTTGTGGAAAAACTGTAAATAATGCTGAAGTATACCACCGAATACTGCCAAACTACCTACAATATACACCTGTATATGTCTATAAGTTAACTGTGGTACACAGAGTTGTATGCATTGAATGAAGACACCAGTCAGGATTTTGTCAAACAATGATGCGATCCCATGAACAAATGCTGCTGTGTGTACTTGTTTTACACCGATCAATGTTGCGATCACGACCAATGCTCGAACATTATTGATTGTGTTTCCAATGCCAAGAATAGCTGCAGCAAAATATAGTGCTACGAGGCTTTCATCGGCTGGTTTTAAAGAGTAAGCGATTGTACAAAATACAAGGACAATTAGAACACCGACGACTGAGCCAATCTAAAATTAAAAAGGCATGTACGATTTTTAGTGGAACATGTACACACTCAAAGAGATATAAGCTATATCTATCTATCTATCATGTGATCATGTTATAAGATAGACAAACGTGCTGAGTTCTTCAAAATGCTCATCGAAATTCACGTATGAATAGTAAAGCCATCGCGAGAATATATTGCATCAAGTCAAGCCAATCATTGGCAAGATGAGTAATTGATCATTTAGAGTAATATCAACTAGCGATAGACATTTAAAATTCTACTCTGAATACTATAATACCATAATGAGTTATGTATGAGTGGTCAATCTGAATACTATTGTCGCAGTGGTATTATTTGTAGCTTTGATTATGTTTGTCACAAATTCGAATCCTACAGAATGTATCGATTCCGTGAAGACATCACACACACACTCTGTTCACAAGTCCTAGTCAGAATGATATCTATTACTACTGCTTTCTGTCAACTGTCTCCGAAATTTTAAAATGACAGATCAAGCTGTATTCGAATGACAAATAAATCATGAATGAGGTTTAAAATGTAGTCAACCAAACTGTTATGAATCAGGGCTTAACAAAATGTGAAATATTTTTCAGTAATAAAGTTTTAACTTGATTTCAATGTTATTGAAATCGTCAATTCCTTTTACTTACATAATTCCCGAGTAATTTATTTATCCTTTGTACACCAACTGATGTAATCAAACAAGAAATTGTGGTAACTAAGGTGACAGAAACCATTGAACTTTTATTCAATTTCAATGAATTCAACAAAAATGGACCACTGTAAACCTGAAAGTATAACAGCACAAATATCTATTTACAAATAATATTGTGGTTTGTAATTCATTATTTATATGTGGGCATTAAAAGCACATATTAGTTTAGTTTATGTTATCTCAGTGTTATTATTCAGAACTTCATTTAACTAGAATCTCTGTTGGTATATGGAGTCTTATCGGAACGCCTAGATGTAGAGGGCAGTAAAAAGTTTGTCGTTTGCTAGGTATATATATATATAGAATTGTAATCCGAAAACTGAACATATCTTTTTCGAGTGTTACCATGTAGATGTATATTTTTGAGTAGTTCGAGTATCCACAAACGATTTCGAGCCTTGGAACTCCTTCTCTTATCTCAACTGCATCACTTCTTTGACATTCATAATTTGACTTTTAACTAATTGATCTCAACAAATTTCATTCTTAATTACAATCAGTTTGTGTTCAGCCACCTCATTACATATTCAGTTAATTGTCTTACCTATATGATCTATACTCATCATAGCTGGTGATCCAGAACATTCTCTCACATATATTATATTTATTCAGTTGAATTAAGTCTGTCCCAATCGCCACATATCCAAATCTAATCTATTTCGCTATTGTAAGTATGTTAACTTTAGTTCAAGAGAGAGGTTGTGACCAGTCGAATTCAACAATGTCCAGTGTGAGACAATTATCCACCACAGGCAATGAATCAGGTTTGCTACATTTCGTGAATTCACTGAATTTGGACATTAACACCGTTAAACCCAGTGGTGGTGAAGAGTTCAGGCGATGATCTGAATACGTACTCTCGTCTTCAGATCGAATTTTGTATCCGTTTATTTATTAACCGATGACTGCTTTTAGAGGAAACATTGAAATACATTGTTAAACTGACCAACCACCATTTATATGGCATTGGTTTTAGTCTTAATTTTAGAACGTGTATATTAGTTTGGAGTTTCTGTGAAGAACTAATTAAAGTGATTCTTTATCCGACCTGTGCTCTTAGTGCTTTAATCTATGTACCTAACTTTATACGTGTTTCGGATAGTTTGAAACACTTATTTAATATTGAGAGCTTAACGTTGAATTTCATCATATAATAAGTTTACAGAAGTTGAAATAGATCATTTATTGAAAGTAGATCAAATAGACAGGCAGGTAAATCCAAGTAAACTGCTACATCATTTAAATATATCACAAATTCAACACAAAACGGCAAAGTTATATGACACAATTGATTAATGAGAAGAATCTTGTAGAAGAATAGTGAAACGTTTATGCATTAAATGAATATAGAAAGTGAATGTACTAATTATCTTGGTCGAATTTGACTGAAGTCCATCACGAAGACTGAATGATGCTTGAAGTGAATTCATTAGGGAAACATTATGAGCCTTCTTAACATAACGCTAGTTCACAAAGTTACTGACTGTCGACTTCGGCTGTATGGTAATGATCACAGAGACACGTGAAAGAGACTTCCTTAATATGATCCCATAGGAGGAGTTCTGCACAGAAAATTATCATCACTTGTAGTCATTCTATTAGGTACTTCAATGATTCATCACTTACTCACCACAGAAACAGTTACACTAAGACGCATTATACTGAATGTAGAACAGCTCAGCCAAAATCTTGGTTGTGTAAACCAAGCATACCAGGGAAGTGTAGATGAAAGGCTGTAGGTCCGTTTTCGTTTGGATTTGAGCTGTGAAACCACAACAGAATTACCATTAATCACTCCGTTATTGTTGCTTGTTCCATTCACTTGTGAGAATTCATCTGTGGCATCTTGAACTAATGAAAGAAATAAGTGTCAAATTCTGACTAATTTCAGATTACAAAAAATACATTTCTCTGGAGTGAAATGTGAATTCAACCACCCAATGACAACTAATGGACCACAAATCAGTGGGTTTTGTGTAGTGTGAACTGAATGCCTCTCAGTTGTAAGTAATAGATGACGAGAAATCTCAAATCTCAATGAAACGACTGTCTGATGATGATAACTAACATTTCGGTAATTATCCAACTGAGTCCAGTCCACAACTCAACTCAATGTCAACTTGTATATTCGCCACAACACTAAGCAATAAAACTTGAAAATGATGATTGACAGAGAATTATGATCAATTTCAGTTCATTCCTTCTACATCGACAAAAATAACAGTTAAGTGAAATGTCAGTTTTCCGGTGTTTTCATCATCACTGTCTCTTTCAAACTAACCATTCAGTGTACAGTAAAACCAATGAACACTTAACAAGTTACTACCCTATTCGAGTCAATACTAATCAGATGTTTACTTTTCATTGGTCAAATTGGTTGCATCGAGTTTATCGTTTATCCAATCAGTACAGAAATCTCTCTAGAAATCATTTCAACCGGATAAGCTCCATTTGTTGAAACACGCAAACATATCAACAAACAAGGTTCATAAATAGTCTGGATTTCCGAAATTCCATCTACATCAACATGGTATTTGACTTACTTTCATGAGATTGCATTGCGAGTGATTGGTGTGCTTTCGGTTTACCTTCACGAACACCACAATGGAAGATTATTGTGAATAATACTCCAATGCCAACGACAATCAATGCAACATTTCGAAATATGGGCAAATCTTGAATTGTTATATTGTATTCTGAATGTACGACTAACTGTTTCCCAACATTCGTTGACTGGTTATTTATCGAATCTTTGAACAATGTTGCTCGTTCACTTCCAACAATAATGTCAGTTGTTATTAATGATTTTGTGAACAGTTGACTGTTGTTCACATTGTTGTCAGTCTCATTTACTGATTTCAAAAGTAACAAACTGGATTTTTCTGATTCAAAAAATAAATACGTTATAAGTAATATAGCCAACTGTCCGATTCCATGGAATAAATATCTCAAGGATGCAAGCAATTCTCGTTCATCATGTTGGTCTGTCAAATCATTGATAATTGATAAATGGGGAATTTGTACAGCTGCACAACCAACCTTCAAAATATTGTTTTGTAGATAAAAAGAGAATCAATTAGTCTGAATGTCGTTTTATTTTAAACTATTATCAATACGAAATCAGCGTTTAGTCAATTCATCCGACTAGACAGAACACAAGAACCAGTCGGAACTGAGAGAAATGCATTTTGAAGATGACCGCAATTGGAAACACGATTATTTAGAACTTAAGTACTTTCAAATTACATTGGATACTGACTGAAAGAATGGTGATTAGAGCTGTGGAATTTTCAAACTGATAATTGACATTTTCTCAGGTTTCAACTGACTGACTAACTATCATTAATCAAACTACCATTGAAAACCAGAAGGTACTGTAAATATATGTTGTTCCAGTTTCGGATGTTTTGACAATGCACACACACTTGTCTACAGAAGACCTGTTTCAGGACTATCAGACTATTCACCACTGTGATGATTGTCTTCTGAATGTAGTGAATTTAACGAGAATTTTTATTTGAATCGAAACACGTTTCGTTCGTTTATCGTTTGATGAGTAAACTTCATGCCAGTAAATGTTTAATAACATCAGTTAGCTTATAATTATCAATATTTAAACAATGAATCCTGTAAATCACTTGTAAAGATTTGCATTGTTTTCTTTGTACTATTTAAACTTGTGTTAATTACTTTTCAGTCATTTATTTACTATGAAGAAATGACTCACTTTAAGTTACGAAACATCAGAAACACTGTGGTGTGTGCTACTGATGTCACAAGACATAAATAGTTCGCATCATCAATCAAAAGTGAAATGCCTGTAGACATAAGGTTAGGAAGATCGAGGAAAGGAGAACGAGAATGGAGAATGGTTGGTGTGGAAACGAAGGAACGATCAAGTCTGAGACGATTGACTGATATTTTGTAAATGAAGTATCTACTGTACGGTTCTCAGAGTTTACTGAGCTATTCTACAATTTTGTGTTCAAACACATTCAATCATCGCCAATTATGTTATCGCTTATTACAACAAAATTTACTACTTATTGGGATACCATGGAAAGTAGATTTATTATTGTGCTCATAAATGATGTTTTGTGGATTTTGTAGAAATTAGGGTTCGTTTGCATGAGGGACTGATTTAATTTGGGAAACTGTTAGAATAGAGAGGACTTCCAAGACTGTTGTTTCGTCTTATTATTATATTTTCTTTAAGTATGACTAGTACATGAACTGAACCAAGAATTTCCAAGCCAGTCTGTCAGTTCATTAGATTAAGGCTTATTGTTTTGTATATCAGTAGAATCATTTACAAAATATTTTGGCATTTAATATGTGCTCTCCGATTGACAGAATCTAACTTCATATATCCCGTCGATAAAACGTTAGGCTCGTTTTATTTTAAAAGATTATTCACAAAAATATTTAATCTCAACTTCATTCGAATTTACTTCGATGACGACTTTACAGTAATCGGTTAAATAGTTTGTTTTTTAACCTTTGAGCATGTTGATATTTCATGCAGTCAGATCATCTAACAAACTTTTGTAAAGCAAAGACAATAAACTTGATAGAATGAGGTGACCTAATTTCACTTTGTGTGCTCTAAATCTTCCACATATGTACTGGTATGCATAAAGAAATAAATTTAAAAAAAACATATTTTATCAATCTAATTTAGTGGATAAGATACATATCGTAATTTAGTTCAATAGTGAACAAATGACTATTTTGATAAATCGATGGATTGATCAGACATGATAGAAACCGTTATGTAACCGTGTGCAAGAAACGTGTGAAAACCATTGTGATTACGGTAGACAAAATGATAGTAAGTATCAAAATACAGCAGTAAAGTGACCATAATAATATTAGCTAGAGAAGGCAAGAAAAACTGAAGTAATAAGATATCTAAATTGATAAGGGTTCAGACATTTTATTGAATAAAACTGAAATAATAAGGTTTTATTGATATTCATCCTAATGTCTACACATTTACATAGATTTAAACCAAACACATTGTATTCAAATATTCACTCAATCGACCAACATTATCACCTAATATTTTTCCGAGTGATTCCAAGAATTCCACATCGCAATCACAAACATTCATTCATACAATAAAACATACCTGAACACAAATCATAAACATGCCATTGATCAATAACTTCACCACAATTGGAAGACCAACAAAATATTCCGGTTGTCCGAACATCAACGGAAAGGCAACAAGCATCAATAAACATCCACCTAAATGCCATGACTTTCTCTGTCCAAGTCTCAACTGTCGTTTCATTCGATTGAACAACCTCTTATCCTTCTTTACACTTCCATCTTCACACGTTATTGACTGGTGAACAGTTGCCGGTTTTTCAGTTAGACCGAGTAGACGATCTGATAAATAACCAATCAATGGTGTGGCTAATCCATTGGCAATCTGACCACACAGTAATAATGCTCCAACTTGTGAACTACTCAAACTGATACAACCTTCATAGAATATGATGTAGAATATACAGATAAATCCCAAAACAAGATCTTTAAGCATTTGACCCGTTCCATAAGCAATTTTACTAATCCACTTCATTTTATTTGTCGTTGTAGCTTGAATAACTGATAATGATTGTGAGACTTTGATGTCATTCATAATTCACTGATTTGACCAAGATTTATGAGTGAGTTAATTCAAGTGCACACACTAACTTGTTGAAGTGAGTAAAATTTCAATGACTTATGCTATTTTTGAGAGTTGACATTAGTTCAGTTTAAATACTGTTGTATGTACAATAATTTCGCAGTAATTTTATGTCTTAATTAATCAATATGAACTGACTTGTCTCATTGTCCAATCAGTGAATAACTATTTTGACTTTTATACTAACCGGCTTGGTGAAAGATGAATGTCAGCTTCATTAAAATAAAACAATTCCAATGATATTTCTTACACTATTCATTGAGTACCTTTTTTGTATGATTAAACTGTGTTAGAGAGAAATTTGAGTGACTCATTTCACATAAGCAGACATAGCCGAATGTTTCACCTCACACTTTGTTCAAAATACTGACTTAGACCTGTGGCTAAAGTTGTAACAGTCAAACATTAATGTATTAAGAAATAGCTTAAAAATAATCTGAATAATTGTAGTAACAACATGGAAGGGAATACTGACTAGTTCAGTAGGTTTTCTCATAAATCATTCATATGACATTAATTATATATACATAATTACAATCATTACAGTAAATCGATTGAATAAACTGTAGAGCAAGTTTAATAAGATTATTTTATTACTTCTACTCAATGTATTGACTTCATGAAACCGTCGTGATGTGATTGATCCCTCATTCTATTCAAATGAGTGAAATGTTTTGAACATGTAACGAAATGGTAGCGAAAGTAATAGATTTCGAGGATTCAATAAAAACAGACAATAATCACTTATCTTTTTGTATTACTTACTTACTTACTTACTTTTGCCTGTCACTCTTCATGGAGCATAGGTCGCCGACCGGCATTCTTCAACTCAATCTGTCCTGAGTCTTCCTATCCAGTTTTATCAAATTTTTGTACATTTTCCTCATGTCTGTCTCCATTCCTCGGCGTAATTTGTTCTTTGGTCTTCCTCTCCTCCTTTCTATCCACTTCCAGTGCTTCTCCTTGATTTCTTCCTCTGCTGGGATCTGGTTTCTTCTCTCCCATAGTAGGTTGTTGCTGACAGTTTATGGTCATCGAATCCGAAGTATTTTGCGTAGACAGCTGTTAATAAACACTTGTATTTTCTGTATTAGCAAACATATAAGGGAAGAGTCATAGGATTATTATTACCTTGATTTTCCCATTGTTATATAGAAGTCAGTCAAGAATAAATGCTTTATTTAATCATCACGCGAACATTAATCCGAAAATTACCCTTGGATGTTCAAAATTTATATCGACATTATGACCATTTCTATGGCAATGATTTAAATTCAATATCCCGAATAAACCATACTGGCGTAGATATATTTGAAGATACTAATTTGAGGCTATATATTTCAAAGATTTCTTTATTGACTCATTACATTGTGATTGTGATAAATTCAAGTGATTAGTTCAATTTCTCAAAGCACACACTTTTTTCCTAATTTACAATCTATTATCATTTGTTGTGACCAGCCTTAAATTCAATGGAGCTCAGGATATTTCCTAATAAAAACCTCTGTAATAGAAGGTATTTATCCTCTGGGATCTGGTTTGTTCTCTCCCACAATACGTTGTTGCTAATATTGTCTGGTCATTGAATCCGAAGTATTTTGCGTAGACAGCTGTTAATAAACACCTGTATTTTCTGGATGATGGCTTTCGTAGTTCTCCAGGTTTCTGCCCCATACAGTAGAACTGTCTTGACATTTGTATTGAAAATTCTGACCTTGGTGTTGGTTGACAGTTGCTTTGAGTTCCAGACGTTCCTCAGTTGTAAATATGTGGCTGTTGCTTTGCCGATCCGCGCCTTCACATCTGCATCAGATCCACCCTGTTCATCAATGATGCTGCCCAAATACGTAAAGGTTTTTACATCTCCTAAATCTTCTCCGTTAATTGTGATTGGATTGGTGCATTCTGTGTTGTATCGGAGAATCCTGCTTTTCCCTTTGTGTATATTGAGACCTACTGCTGCTGAGGCTGCTGCTACACTGGTCGTCTTCTCCTGCATCTGTTGTTGCGTTTGGGATCGAAGGGCCAGATCATCTGCGAAGTCTAGATCATCCAACTGCATCTTAGATGTCCATTGTATCCCGCGCTTCCCTTCAGACGTTGACGTCTTCATGATCCAGTCGATCACCAGGAGAAAGAGAAAGGGTGAGAGTAAGCAACCTTGCCTAACACCGGTCTTCACTTCGAACGACTTTGTCAACTGTCCTCCATGCACGATTTTGCGGTGTAATCCATCATATGAGTTCTGTATGATATTGACTATCTTCTGAGGCACGCCGTAGTGTCGAAGAAGTTTCCATAGTGTTGTTCTGTCCACGCTATCAAATGCCTTTTCGTAGTCAATGAAGTTGATGTAGAGTGATGAATTCCATTCAATTGATTGTTCCACAATTATCCGTAGAGTTGCGATTTGGTCTGTACACGATCTATCCTTACGGAATCCTGCCTGTTGGTCTCGAAGTTGGGCGTCTACACAGTCCTTCATCCTGTTTAACAATACCCTGTTGAAGACTTTTCCCGGTATTGAGAGAAGAGTGATGCCTCTGTAGTTATCACACTTGCTGAGATCGCCTTTCTTCGGTATTTTGATTAGAAGTCCTTCTTTCCAGTCTGTTGGTACTTGTTCCTCATCCCAAATCTTATTGAAGAGAATGTGGAGTATCCTTGCAGTTGCCGCTACGTCTGCTTTTAGTGCCTCTGCTGGGATGTTGTCCGGTCCTGCTGCTTTGCCACTCTTGATTTGTCTGATGGCCATGCTGATTTCTTCAATTGTTGGTGGGCCAACATTGATTGGGAGGTCCGTGGGTGCTGCTTCGATGTTGGGTGGGTTCAGTGGAGCTGGTCGATCCAAGAGTTCTTTGAAGTGTTCTACCCACCTGTTTTGTTGCTCTTCAATGTTGGTGATTACCTCGCCTTCCTTATTTTTCACTGGTCGTTCTGGTTTTCGGCGATTTCCAGAGAGTTTCTTTGCTATGTCATACAATTGTCTCATGTTTCCTTCTCTTGCAGCCTCCTCCGCCGTCGTTGCTAAATCTTCCATATATTTACGTTTGTCAGTCCTGATGCTCCTCTTTACTTGCTTGTTTATTTCTGCATATTCAGTTTGTGCCTTGGCTTTTTCTGCTCTTGTTCGGCTGGTATTGATTGCTGCCTTCTTGTTCCTCCTTTCTTGAATCTTATCCACTGTATCGACAGTGATCCATTCCTTGTGATGATGCTTCTTGTGGCCCAGAAACTCATGACATGTTGAAGTGATTGCTTTTTTGATCCCCTCCCAGTTGATCTCCATAGTAGTTTCTTCTCCATTGAGTAGATCCTTAAAGGCCTGGAAGTCAATGCTGAAGACCATTTTGAATTTGTTAAGTTTGTCAGTATCCCGAAGTAACGCCATATTGAACTTTTGTGATATTGTCCGCCAAGACCTCTAATTTATTCACTGCCAAAGAAAAAAGTTTATATCAATCTAGCATATAGAGGCGAATATAACAGTATAGTCCAAAGGCAGAGATTGAAAGCAGCCATCGAGAATAGGTATTTTGCTGCTCAGTTGGTAGTGATTTAAAAGTCTAAGGCCATGATTCCTAATAGATCCAAACAATGCACTAATGATTACGTCACATCCCATTGTATTTACAAATTTACATGTTTGTGTGGACACACATACATAGGGAAAAGTAATCGAACTATGCAATCAAGGGTCAATGAACATGTGCTTGGATGGCTTCAAAATCAATGTATGTCAAATGATCCGATCAATGTAGGAGGTAGAAAACCAAGCTCATCGATAGCGAAACATATAATTGAGACGGGGCACAAAATTAACATTAATACAGCATTTAGAATGTTGTATAGAAATTGTCAAGGTCGAATTCTTAAGTTTATTGAAGCCTTGGCTATTCGCAAATTTAAACCCCCCTTATGTGTACAAAAACAATTTGTCGTAACCTTGAATTTACCTTGATAATCCTTAAGTCATTCTATGGCCGAGGATAACTCGACAATTTGTTATTCTTTCTCTCCCCTTAGTTATTTTAATTGTACTTTTATTTGTTTGACCTTTAATAATTTTCAATTGATTGATCGCTGGGTGGTGATCAATGTCATGCTTGTCTAGTCCTTATTAGTGCAGATCGAATGCTATCGAATAAGGACTAGACAAGCATGACATTGATCACCACACAGTGATCAATCAATTGTGATTACATCTCAGTCCTGAGGGAGGTTAGTCACGGCTCGGATAGCTCAGTGGTAACGTCTCTGACTTTGAAGCTGGGTGATACGAGATCGAATCTGCCAGGGAGCACCACTTCCCTCAAGATTACAGGTACACCTTGCTGACGAATGCCAAGTAGCACGAAATCCGGGTCCAGGGTTTCCTGTTAACAACCTTCAACCACCATCTAAATCTTTATTAATTTTCATATAAAAGTACCCTGACAAGAATACGTGTGACCAGATTGTTCGAAATGCATAGCGCTAATAAATCACATTTTTCAGAGCAACTCCGTCTTCTCAATGTTCTATCGAAATTTATTTAATTTCGCCGAAAATTTCAGCTTTCTCATGCGTGCTCATTTCTTAACCTAGAATAATATGAAACAAAATGATTTAGTCTAATTAAAATATAAATTTATTTTCAATCATGAGATTGACCCTAATCAGACAAAACAAAGCACATCGTTAATTCAATCTCATTATACAAATGGCATTGTTTTGAAGTATTTCATATTAGTCAGAAAAAGCCACACAAAATGTTAACAGATCTAAATAAGATAAATATTCATTCAGATATAATAAAATAAGTAAGATAAGAATTAGTTTTCGTGCATTCTGAAAGACTAATGTGATAACTATGCATGACTTAAGATATTTCTTAATGATCAACAGCAGAATCATGTCATTAGTAAAGAAAATGCAAAAAAATTAAAATCACAGTCGAAGAGTGAAATTGTATACTTCACACAGCTAAAATGTGAATCATAATAATAAATGGGTAATTGGTCAATGTTGAATAAGCATACTTTGGTCTAGATCTAGATCTAAATGAGATGACGCTAATTAACCTTACAATTTGATTACAATTAATGTGATTCAGTAGTAGTACCCTAAGAAGTAGTATTTTACAAAGATTGTCAATGATATATAATATTGTAATGATCAATACATTTATAATTGTTATGTCCCAATAAGCATAATGAATGGTAACTTTTGGGATCCATTCATGATATAATTTATCGTATAATTGTTGAATAACCAAGCTATTCATATTCATGTCCCTATATTTTTTTGAGCCTTATTTTGACCTATGAACTATTATTATACGATTCACCATTCTTGAATTGTGCCCTGTCTATTAATTACTACCTTCCGCATTCACATCCACATTTGGCTAAATCTCGTACACATGTTGTTTCCTATTTTGTTGGTACGATCTGGTCTGTCTGGTTGCTGTATAAACCCGGTATGTTTGAAATAAATGATTCATATTGCAGAGGCTGAGATTGGTTTTCTGGACTTAACTGGCTGGGCTAGGCGGAAAGCAGGACCAATCAGGACTCTAGACTGCTCGCACGTGTTTTATGCGTCATTGGTCCGATCGACCAGTCACTGCTCTCTAATTGGCGGTATCGTTACGTTATACATTAACAGGGCGCTCAGGCCGCAAGTTATAACAATAATAATCAATGATAAATACCTTCTATTACAGAGGTTTTTATTAGGAAATATCCTGAGCTCCATTGAATTTAAGGCTGGTCACAACAAATGATAATAGATTGTAAATTAGGAAAAAAGTGTGTGCTTTGAGAAATTGAACTAATCACTTGAATTTATCACAATCACAATGTAATGAGTCAATAAAGAAATCTTTGAAATATATAGCCTCAAATTAGTATCTTCAAATATATCTACGCCAGTATGGTTTATTCGGGATATTGAATTTAAATCATTGCCATAGAAATGGTCATAATGTCGATATAAATTTTGAACATCCAAGGGTAATTTTCGGATTAATGTTCGCGTGATGATTAAATAAAGCATTTATTCTTGACTGACTTCTATATAACAATGGGAAAATCAAGGTAATAATAATCCTATGACTCTTCCCTTATATGTTTGCTAATACAGAAAATACAAGTGTTTATTAACAGCTGTCTACGCAAAATACTTCGGATTCGATGACCATAAACTGTCAGCAACAACCTACTATGGGAGAGAAGAAACCAGATCCCAGCAGAGGAAGAAATCAAGGAGAAGCACTGGAAGTGGATAGAAAGGAGGAGAGGAAGACCAAAGAACAAATTACGCCGAGGAATGGAGACAGACATGAGGAAAATGTACAAAAATTTGATAAAACTGGATAGGAAGACTCAGGACAGATTGAGTTGAAGAATGCCGGTCGGCGACCTATGCTCCATGAAGAGTGACAGGCAAAAGTAAGTAAGTAAGTAAGTAATACAAAAAGATAAGTGATTATTGTCTGTTTTTATTGAATCCTCGAAATCTATTACTTTCGCTACCATTTCGTTACATGTTCAAAACATTTCACTCATTTGAATAGAATGAGGGATCAATCACATCACGACGGTTTCATGAAGTCAATACATTGAGTAGAAGTAATAAAATAATCTTATTAAACTTGCTCTACAGTTTATTCAATCGATTTACTGTAATGATTGTAATTATGTATATATAATGAATGTCATATGAATGATTTATGAGAAAACCTACTGAACTAGTCAGTATTCCCTTCCATGTTGTTACTATAATTATTCAGATTATTTTTAAGCTATTTCTTAATACATTAATGTTTGACTGTTACAACTTTAGCCACAGGTCTAAGTCAGTATTTTGAATAAAGTGTGAGGTGAAACATTCGGCTATGTCTGCTTATGTGAAATGAGTCACTCAAATTTCTCTCTAACACAGTTTAATCATACAAAAAAGGTACTCAATGAATAGTGTAAGAAATATCATTGGAATTGTTTTATTTTAATGAAGCTGACATTCATCTTTCACCAAGCCGGTTAGTATAAAAGTCAAAATAGTTATTCACTGATTGGACAATGAGACAAGTCAGTTCATATTGATTAATTAAGACATAAAATTACTGCGAAATTATTGTACATACAACAGTATTTAAACTGAACTAATGTCAACTCTCAAAAATAGCATAAGTCATTGAAATTTTACTCACTTCAACAAGTTAGTGTGTGCACTTGAATTAACTCACTCATAAATCTTGGTCAAATCAGTGAATTATGAATGACATCAAAGTCTCACAATCATTATCAGTTATTCAAGCTACAACGACAAATAAAATGAAGTGGATTAGTAAAATTGCTTATGGAACAGGTCAAATGCTTAAAGATCTTGTTTTGGGATTTATCTGTATATTCTACATCATATTCTATGAAGGTTGTATCAGTTTGAGTAGTTCACAAGTTGGAGCATTATTACTGTGTGGTCAGATTGCCAATGGATTAGCCACACCATTGATTGGTTATTTATCAGATCGTCTACTCGGTCTAACTGAAAAACCGGCAACTGTTCACCAGTCAATAACGTGTGAAGATGGAAGTGTAAAGAAGGATAAGAGGTTGTTCAATCGAATGAAACGACAGTTGAGACTTGGACAGAGAAAGTCATGGCATTTAGGTGGATGTTTATTGATGCTTGTTGCCTTTCCGTTGATGTTCGGACAACCGGAATATTTTGTTGGTCTTCCAATTGTGGTGAAGTTATTAATCAATGGTATGTTTATGATTTGTGTTCAGGTATGTTTTATTGTATGAATGAATGTTTGTGATTGTGATGTGGAGTTTTTGGAATCACTCGGAAAAATATTAGGTGATAATGTTGGTCGATTGAGTGAATATTTGAATACAATGTGTTTGGTTTAAATCTATGTAAATGTGTAGACATTAGGATGAATATCAATAAAACCTTATTATTTCAGTTTTATTCAATAAAATGTCTGAACCCTTATCAATTTAGATATCTTATTACTTCAGTTTTTCTTGCCTTCTCTAGCTAATATTATTATGGTCACTTTACTGCTGTATTTTGATACTTACTATCATTTTGTCTACCGTAATCACAATGGTTTTCACACGTTTCTTGCACACGGTTACATAACGGTTTCTATCATGTCTGATCAATCCATCGATTTATCAAAATAGTCATTTGTTCACTATTGAACTAAATTACGATATGTATCTTATCCACTAAATTAGATTGATAAAATATGTTTTTTTTAAATTTATTTCTTTATGCATACCAGTACATATGTGGAAGATTTAGAGCACACAAAGTGAAATTAGGTCACCTCATTCTATCAAGTTTATTGTCTTTGCTTTACAAAAGTTTGTTAAATGATCTGACTGCATGAAATATCAATATGCTCAAAGGTTAAAAACAAACTATTTAACCGATTACTGTAAAGTCGTCATCGAAGTAAATTCGAATGAAGTTGAGATTAAATATTTTTGTGAATAATCTTTTAAAATAAAATGAGCCTAACGTTTTATCGACGGGATATATGAAGTTAGATTCTGTCAATCGGAGAGCACATATTAAATGCCAAAATATTTTGTAAATGATTCTACTGATATACAAAACAATAAGCCTTAATCTAATGAACTGACAGACTGGCTTGGAAATTCTTGGTTCAGTTCATGTACTAGTCATACTTAAAGAAAATATAATAATAAGACGAAACAACAGTCTTGGAAGTCCTCTCTATTCTAACAGTTTCCCAAATTAAATCAGTCCCTCATGCAAACGAACCCTAATTTCTACAAAATCCACAAAACATCATTTATGAGCACAATAATAAATCTACTTTCCATGGTATCCCAATAAGTAGTAAATTTTGTTGTAATAAGCGATAACATAATTGGCGATGATTGAATGTGTTTGAACACAAAATTGTAGAATAGCTCAGTAAACTCTGAGAACCGTACAGTAGATACTTCATTTACAAAATATCAGTCAATCGTCTCAGACTTGATCGTTCCTTCGTTTCCACACCAACCATTCTCCATTCTCGTTCTCCTTTCCTCGATCTTCCTAACCTTATGTCTACAGGCATTTCACTTTTGATTGATGATGCGAACTATTTATGTCTTGTGACATCAGTAGCACACACCACAGTGTTTCTGATGTTTCGTAACTTAAAGTGAGTCATTTCTTCATAGTAAATAAATGACTGAAAAGTAATTAACACAAGTTTAAATAGTACAAAGAAAACAATGCAAATCTTTACAAGTGATTTACAGGATTCATTGTTTAAATATTGATAATTATAAGCTAACTGATGTTATTAAACATTTACTGGCATGAAGTTTACTCATCAAACGATAAACGAACGAAACGTGTTTCGATTCAAATAAAAATTCTCGTTAAATTCACTACATTCAGAAGACAATCATCACAGTGGTGAATAGTCTGATAGTCCTGAAACAGGTCTTCTGTAGACAAGTGTGTGTGCATTGTCAAAACATCCGAAACTGGAACAACATATATTTACAGATTAAATATTTTTGTGAATAATCTTTTAAAATAAAACGAACTTAAAGTTTTATCGATGGGATACATGAAATCAGATTCCGTCAATCGGAGAGCACATATTAAACGCCAAAATATTTTTGTAGATGATGCTACTGATATTCATCATTTATAAAATAAATCAATAATTATTTCGTTTTTAGTTAGGATTACAAGTTGTCTTTTCAATTAGATAAATGCAACTTAATATAGTTTTTCATTTGAACATACTAACAAGGACTCATTTTCATTGTCTTACCGCATAATACAGACTTGAGATTGACGTCAATGAATTAAATGCATCAAGTGGATTGAATACAAGTATGGGTCTGAGGAAACACTATGAATAATTTACGTGATGAGTAATTATTCCATAGCAGATTCAGGCGTTACCGTTTTGTTCCTGATTTCGTCAAAGAAGCACAGTCAAGATCCTCAGGTTGCTTACACAATGAATTTAGTTTGATTTCGAACTTCGTTGTCTAAAATGTTGAGATAAACTGCAAAATGTCTCTGAAATAGTTTTGAATTGTCTCATTTCCAACTTCTTTTACGCCTTTTTCTAAGCGATTCATGTGAAGTCTAGTGGCAATATTAGTTTCATCTGTTGATTATTATTTATCCACCATTGTTCTAAAATATTGAGAAAGATCATTTTATCGCATACTTTAACTAAAAACGTTCCCTTACAGAATAAGAAGAATGGGAATTTATTGAAGATTTAAATGCACTAGACGTGGCCCGTGGGTAATGTTATTCACGTCGTTATCAAGGGAGATGATAAGTTTTGACTGACTTATTGTTATGACGTGAGAGAGAAAGGGCTGATTGGAGGTTAGTGAGCGCGAATTATCGATCGGACCAAAGACGCGCAAACACGTAAGAACGGCATAGGGTTCTGATTGGTCCCACTTCCCTGTCTAGCCCGGCCAGTTGAGTCCAGAACGCAAGTCACAGACTCAGTGATATGAATCGTTATATTTCAAACATACCCTGTTTATATACCAATCAAACAGACTACATCGTACCATAAAATAGAAAACAACATTTGTACAATAAATGACAAGTGAAATAAACATTGACCAATAAGAGTGTCCATTTAAATTCCAAGGACACAATTAGACTTAACATGATAATTATTGGGCTATTTTTCGGAATATCCCAACACTGATTTTGGTAAATTGAATAGGCTTTCTTTTCAAGAAATAAAGATTGTATTTTGAAAGTACTTAGGTTCCAAATAATCGTGTTTCCAATTGCGGTCATCTTCAAAATGCATTTCTCTCAGTTCCGACTGGTTCTTGTGTTCTGTCTAGTCGGATGAATTGACTAAACGCTGATTTCGTATTGATAATAGTTTAAAATAAAACGACATTCAGACTAATTGATTCTCTTTTTATCTACAAAACAATATTTTGAAGGTTGGTTGTGCAGCTGTACAAATTCCTCATTTATCAATTATCAATGATTTGACAGACCAACATGATGAACGAGAATTGCTTGCATCCTTGAGATATTTATTCCATGGAATCGGACAGTTGGCTACATTGCTTATAACGTATTTATTTTTTGAATCAGAAAAATCCAGTTTGTTACTTTTGAAATCAGTAAATGAGACTGACAACAATGTGAACAACAGTCAACTGTTCACAAAATCATTAATAACAACTGACATTATTGTTGGAAGTGAACGAGCAACATTGTTCAAAGATTCGATAAATAACCAGTCAACGAATGTTGGGAAACAGTTAGTCGTACATTCAGAATACAATATAACAATTCAAGATTTGCCCATATTTCGAAATGTTGCATTGATTGTCGTTGGCATTGGAGTATTATTCACAATAATCTTCCATTGTGGTGTTCGTGAAGGTAAACCGAAAGCACACCAATCACTCGCAATGCAATCTCATGAAAGTAAGTCAAATACCATGTTGATGTAGATGGAATTTCGGAAATCCAGACTATTTATGAACCTTGTTTGTTGATATGTTTGCGTGTTTCAACAAATGGAGCTTATCCGGTTGAAATGATTTCTAGAGAGATTTCTGTACTGATTGGATAAACGATAAACTCGATGCAACCAATTTGACCAATGAAAAGTAAACATCTGATTAGTATTGACTCGAATAGGGTAGTAACTTGTTAAGTGTTCATTGGTTTTACTGTACACTGAATGATTAGTTTGAAAGAGACAGTGATGATGAAAACACCGGAAAACTGACATTTCACTTAACTGTTATTTTTGTCGATGTAGAAGGAATGAACTGAAATTGATCATAATTCTCTGTCAATCATCATTTTCAAGTTTTATTGCTTAGTGTTGTGGCGAATATACAAGTTGACATTGAGTTGAGTTGTGGACTGGACTCAGTTGGATAATTACCGAAATGTTAGTTATCATCATCAGACAGTCGTTTCATTGAGATTTGAGATTTCTCGTCATCTATTACTTACAACTGAGAGGCATTCAGTTCACACTACACAAAACCCACTGATTTGTGGTCCATTAGTTGTCATTGGGTGGTTGAATTCACATTTCACTCCAGAGAAATGTATTTTTTGTAATCTGAAATTAGTCAGAATTTGACACTTATTTCTTTCATTAGTTCAAGATGCCACAGATGAATTCTCACAAGTGAATGGAACAAGCAACAATAACGGAGTGATTAATGGTAATTCTGTTGTGGTTTCACAGCTCAAATCCAAACGAAAACGGACCTACAGCCTTTCATCTACACTTCCCTGGTATGCTTGGTTTACACAACCAAGATTTTGGCTGAGCTGTTCTACATTCAGTATAATGCGTCTTAGTGTAACTGTTTCTGTGGTGAGTAAGTGATGAATCATTGAAGTACCTAATAGAATGACTACAAGTGATGATAATTTTCTGTACAGAACCCCTCCTATGGGATCATATTAAGGAAGTCTCTTTCACGTGTCTCTGTGATCATTACCATACAGCCGAAGTCGACAGTCAGTAACTTTGTGAACTAGCGTTATGTTAAGAAGGCTCATAATGTTTCCCTAATGAATTCACTTCAAGCATCATTCAGTCTTCGTGATGGACTTCAGTCAAATTCGACCAAGATAATTAGTACATTCACTTTCTATATTCATTTAATGCATAAACGTTTCACTATTCTTCTACAAGATTCTTCTCATTAATCAATTGTGTCATATAACTTTGCCGTTTTGTGTTGAATTTGTGATATATTTAAATGATGTAGCAGTTTACTTGGATTTACCTGCCTATCTATTTGATCTACTTTCAATAAATGATCTATTTCAACTTCTGTAAACTTATTATATGATGAAATTCAACGTTAAGCTCTCAATATTAAATAAGTGTTTCAAACTATCCGAAACACGTATAAAGTTAGGTACATAGATTAAAGCACTAAGAGCACAGGTCGGATAAAGAATCACTTTAATTAGTTCTTCACAGAAACTCCAAACTAATATACACGTTCTAAAATTAAGACTAAAGCCAATGCCATATAAATGGTGGTTGGTCAGTTTAACAATGTATTTCAATATTTCCTCTAAAAGCAGTCATCGGTTAATAAATAAACGGATACAAAATTCGATCTGAAGACGAGAGTACGTATTCAGATCATCGCCTGAACTCTTCACCACCACTGGGTTTAACGGTGTTAATGTCCAAATTCAGTGAATTCACGAAATGTAGCAAACCTGATTCATTGCCTGTGGTGGATAATTGTCTCACACTGGACATTGTTGAATTCGACTGGTCACAACCTCTCTCTTGAACTAAAGTTAACATACTTACAATAGTGAAATAGATTAGATTTGGATATGTGGCGATTGGGACAGACTTAATTCAACTGAATAAATATAATATATGTGAGAGAATGTTCTGAATCATCAGTTATGATGAGTATAGATCATATAGGTAAGACAATTAATTGAATATGTAATGAGTTGGCTGAACACAAACTGATTGTAATTAAGAATGAAATTTGTTGAGATCAATTAGTTAAAACTCAAATTATGAATTTCAAAGAAGTGATGCAGTTGAGATAAGAGAAGGAGTTCCAAGGCTCGAAATCGTTTGTGGATACTCGAACTACTCAAAAATATACATCTACATGGTAACACTCGAAAAAGATATGTTCAGTTTTCGGATTACAATTCTATATATATATATACCTAGCAAACGACAAACTTTTTACTGCCCTCTACATCTAGGCGTTCCGATAAGACTCCATATACCAACAGAGATTCTAGTTAAATGAAGTTCTGAATAATAACACTGAGATAACATAAACTAAACTAATATGTGCTTTTAATGCCCACATATAAATAATGAATTACAAACCACAATATTATTTGTAAATAGATATTTGTGCTGTTATACTTTCAGGTTTACAGTGGTCCATTTTTGTTGAATTCATTGAAATTGAATAAAAGTTCAATGGTTTCTGTCACCTTAGTTACCACAATTTCTTGTTTGATTACATCAGTTGGTGTACAAAGGATAAATAAATTACTCGGGAATTATGTAAGTAAAAGGAATTGACGATTTCAATAACATTGAAATCAAGTTAAAACTTTATTACTGAAAAATATTTCACATTTTGTTAAGCCCTGATTCATAACAGTTTGGTTGACTACATTTTAAACCTCATTCATGATTTATTTGTCATTCGAATACAGCTTGATCTGTCATTTTAAAATTTCGGAGACAGTTGACAGAAAGCAGTAGTAATAGATATCATTCTGACTAGGACTTGTGAACAGAGTGTGTGTGTGATGTCTTCACGGAATCGATACATTCTGTAGGATTCGAATTTGTGACAAACATAATCAAAGCTACAAATAATACCACTGCGACAATAGTATTCAGATTGACCACTCATACATAACTCATTATGGCATTATAGTATTCAGAGTAGAATTTTAAATGTCTATCGCTAGTTGATATTACTCTAAATGATCAATTACTCATCTTGCCAATGATTGGCTTGACTTGATGCAATATATTCTCGCGATGACTTTACTATTCATACGTGAATTTCGATGAGCATTTTGAAGAATTCAGCACGTTTGTCTATCTCATAACATGATCACATGATAGATAGATAGATATAGCTTATATCTCTTTGAGTGTGTACATGTTCCACTAAAAATCGTACATGCCTTTTTAATTTTAGATTGGCTCAGTCGTCGGTGTTCTAATTGTCCTTGTATTTTGTACAATCGCTTACTCTTTAAAACCAGCCGATGAAAGCCTCGTAGCACTATATTTTGCTGCAGCTATTCTTGGCATTGGAAACACAATCAATAATGTTCGAGCATTGGTCGTGATCGCAACATTGATCGGTGTAAAACAAGTACACACAGCAGCATTTGTTCATGGGATCGCATCATTGTTTGACAAAATCCTGACTGGTGTCTTCATTCAATGCATACAACTCTGTGTACCACAGTTAACTTATAGACATATACAGGTGTATATTGTAGGTAGTTTGGCAGTATTCGGTGGTATTCTAGTGACAATTGATAATTTCATTTATTCAGAGACTTTAGAAAGTACAGATGCACCATGTCTTTCATGTTTTTGTCGAAGAACAACTTCATCGTCGCCTCCGTCACCAACAAAAATTCAGAGTGACAAGGTAATCAATTCTAATATCCAGACCTCCCATCATGGTGTTAGCAATGAAAAAGAAAATAACGATAACTGTAGATACTAATCAACATATTTATTTATCATTAACACAAACCAAAAATCTCTCCTCATAAAACATATCGTCTCCATTTTAAATTTCTCTACCAATAATCAATGCATTGGTTTATTCCTGTAAATTCACCTACTCTTCCTGTAAAAAAAAACATGTTTTAATATTTATTGCGGCTAATCATCACGTGACTTATTTGCCAATCGAAATACCACATATACAATGCAGCACAAACACTCGGTGTTCTTGTATTCTGGCGAGTGTTATTTTTAGATAGTTCATGTGCCCTTTTAGTCGCTGTACGTAGTTGGTTACATCCCTCAGAACTCTCTTACCTGAATCGAAAGTTTCTCCGAGTAAACATAATGTAGTTCCGTACATCAACTCAGCTGAACAGCACCCAATAACTTGTTTAATTGTTGTTCTTAGACCTAACATGACTAGGGGTAGCTTATTTGCCCAATTGTTGCTAACACTGACGGTCGTTAGAGATGCCTTTAACTGCCTGTGTAAACGTTCAACCATAACACTAGATATCGGATGAAGGAATGTAGTGTGAACACGTCTAATTCCTAGGAGTTCTGTCAGTTGTTGAAGCACGCGACGTTCGAACTGAGTTCCCCTATCAGTTGTTCTGAATGCTGGCATGCATAGTAAGAAGTCCAATTTTCGACTAGAGCTTTGGCTACGAATTCGAATGATGTGTATTTTATTGGTACCGCTACAGACCGTCGCCTTTATCTATCGATAAATGTGAAAATATAGTTTTATCCATATGAAGCCGGTAGCGGTCCAACCATACTGATGTGTATATGCTCGATTCTAGTGCGAGAGAGAGAATCCACTGCGAAGCTGGTGTGATAGTGAACCTTGGCTTTTTGACGCTCCATACATGTCTGTTTCCAATTATTTACTACGAAGTGTCCACTGATCAGCTTCACCGTGGCTTTTATTCCTGGATGCGATATATTGTGCATACTTCCAAATACCTGCCGTCGAAATGGTTTTGGGATGAATGATCGCGGTCGGCCTGTCAACATATCATATATCACTTTTGCGCTACCGAGCTGAGCATAGTTTTTTTGTTTGGTGCCTTCTTGGCGTTTTCGAGTACCTTTATCGCCTTCGTTGATATATGGAATGTCCAGGCATGTCCACGCAACGCGTCACTCGATAGTTTCATTATTGCCGCAAAATTCGCGATAAACCATCCATAATAATTCATTAAGCCAAGAAATCTTCGTAACTTCTTCCGCCAGTCGGGTAACGAATAGTCTCGGATAGCTTCGACTTCCGTAGTGTGCTGTCGTGAGTCAACTAGAAGATCTTAGTTCCCCAGGAAATCAGTGCATATTATGGGCACTGACACAGCTGCTATGATGAAGTCACAGCGATACGAAGCTCCTCGTTCGAAATTCACGGACAACTTCCCTTTGCCTTATGTTTTATTATCCGATTTGTTCGCCGCTTTTAGAACAAGTGACGTATTAACGTCTCTTCTTTCATCGCTTACAGGAGGTACAACGCTGATTTCAGCCCAAGTATTGACCAAGAATAAGGCACCCGTTGTTCAGTCTTGTATATAAAGCAGGCGGTTGTTTGTAGGGATTGTGCTCGCTGATGCCATCGCCATAGACCCTCCTGGCAATCGTTCCCCTGTTATGGACCGATATCAACAATGATAATAACAAATGGTACAATTTAAAACATAGAACAGATTTATTAAATTGCACCAGTATATCAATTGTTTGTAAAACATCATCGTTATATCCAATAACGTTTATGAAATAACGTTCGTGTAATGAATATAATGATATAATAAATTCGCAACTATAATTATAATCCAGATAATGATCCGAAACAAGACAAAGTGAGTTGGATTTTCGAAACCAGATTGTACGAATTTATCATCAAATCGAATCAAGGTGAAGCAAGGCTAAGCAAAGGATATTCATAGGATTTAAATACACATATACACGGGACAGTAAATGACTCATCCAATAATATTTAAACTATCAACATTTAGGCTAGAGAGAGATGTGTATATAGGTTGTCGTATGTGGTCATAATAGTACAAAGAAATAGGTGAACTGTTACTGTTCGAATAACATTGTCTTCTGAATTAGTAAATAAAACGGCTCAACAAAATTTAACCACAATCGAAATTGACTGTAGGAGAGTAGCTATAATGTGATAGCAGTCTTGAATTATATTTAAAACACACTGCATAGGTATTGCGTATTATAGCAAATATAAAGATAATACACTGAGTTGTTCACCAGGAACCAGATCAAAAACCTTGTTATGATCTAAATCAATTCGCCAATACATCTAAAACAGTTGATATTCGTTAATTAACCATATCAAACTAATAATTTCCGTTTCACCTTCATAATTTTAGTTATTAATCGTCATGTACACACTAGTTACTAGCTTCGAGAAAAAAATTTTGAGAATTCTAGTGAGGAACCGTGACCAGTAAAGTTCAGTCATGTGAGGTTCTCAGTGGTTTTTTAACTTAAATCAGCTCATGATATCGATCATTTGATAATCTCAATAACCCCATATTGACAATGGTTATTCCAACTTTTTCATAAGTTATACATACACTCTTATAGGGGGTGGGCATTGTAGTGCTCAAGAATTTTCATAAATTCACATTTAATAGTTGAGTTTGATTAGACTTTCAACAAAAAGATATTATCAATCAATTTATCTCTTGTCTCATCGTCAGTATCCGGAATTCTTCGTAAATTAGTTTCGGTCATAAAATATATTCAATGTAGATTGTATGAACATGGAGTATGTTTTGAGATTAGATTTTTGTCCAATTGATAATTTACACCTTTTTAATTCAAGTACTAATAACCCCGATTTCCAGTTTGAAATAATATTCACCGTTAATAGAACAAACAGATGTGTAACCTAATTGATTATTCCATGTTATCTTCATTTTTAGCTATTTCCGAATCTTTCTTATCTGAGAAGTAAATCTCAGTTTTTGTTTTCTTCTTTCTTGCTTTCTTTCTTTCTTTCTAATAAAAATGAAGTGAGTTCTGCAAGCAGACAACAATTGTATTTCGTTACACTATTGATTTTACTTCTTGTGACGTTGAGTTCTCAGTCTTCGTACGGATGAAATACTGAATCCTAAAACTTGAAGCATAAGTACAGTGACTATTTCTGTTCCCCACCATATCACTCTCGGCACAATAATCAGGCAGATAGATTTTTCGATTTGCTAAAACAAGCAATTCTAAAAGAATAAATCTGAGGATTGGATGAAGCAATGCGGCTAAACAACCCTATACTCACTTCTGTCATTTATAATAGTTTACTTTAGGATATCACACCCCATATACAATCTCTTAACCGCATTCAGTTTTAAGAAACAATGATGGTGACCTGTAAGTGCTATGAACAAAGGTGAATGAGAAGCCAAACAGTGTTAATGCCTAACCTAAATCGATCAATGATCCTTCATTCATTGACTGCAGTGGATATATGTCTCACATCAGACACGGATTGAACTCCACTGCTTACGGCTTCTCTTACCATCTTTGAAAGAGATTTAACATCTATTATTTTGATACTCACATGGGAAATAAATTACAACGACATTGAAATGTACATAGCTACATTCAATACACAACATTATCATCTTATTTAAAACTTTGTCCTTACAACATTCATGATTATAACAACGTTTATTCTATAAATTACTCTATACGTTAAGATTATCACACTTCTGATTATGTATTTTATACTTCAGCATTATTTACAGTTTTTCCACAAATTTTCAGTTGGCATAATTTCTCAGTCACATTTGTTCAAATACATTAACTTCATCATTTACCGCCCCTTTTGATTTTGTATTAGCCTATTGATGCCTATCAATTCAACCTCACTTTCATTCAGTGTTGGGTATTTCGTATAAGTTTAGTAATTTCGATTTCATGATCCACATGAGGTTAAGTGCCAGTTGGCAAATTATTTGCTTACTAATTCAGTCATTATAACATTTTGTTAATCAGTTTTGCTGTCATAGTAACTAAAATGTACTATCATGGATAAATAATAACAAATATATATTTCAAGTAAAGTAGAAAACACAGTGGTACGTAGGCTAGAAACAACTGAGCGTTTATTGATTTACTCAATATTTATTGACCTAAATAACGTCGACTAAACACCTGATATCTGCATACTTTGTAAATATTAGTTTATCTCAAGTTTACATAAAATTTCTATTAAGTTTATTTTTTCAACTGGATAACGAGTTGATATTCTCAACTTGCAAAACAATGTTGTTTAATACCATAAGTTAAATATTTTCTATTTATTTCATTGTTGATGTCTACGATTGAATTAGTTTGTTTTGCTGACACGATCTCCTTGAATAAATCCCTACACTTACAGATTGATCATAGTTTCAAGTGCAAACTTTTTCTAAGCAAAGATGAATGGTGGCTAGTAGTGGAATCCAGGATGTGTGTTTCCTCCTATTTGAGACTCGTCATTTGGAAGTATCTGCATCCCAGAGTTGATGTTCACTCCAGAAATTGAAACCAGCAATATCGAGACAATCCTCACAGGATGCACATATGACAATAAGAGACTGACCCATCGCATTTCTAAATATCAATGGGAAGATTCAAACAATCAATACAAAAATGAATTAGAAATTCATCCCCTTGCACAAACTAGTGGCTATCTGGATTCAGTAGCTATGTGGATAACGCGACGGAGTTTGAAGCAAGCGGTACTGGGTTCGAGTCCATGAATGAACATCAACTGCGGGATGCAGGCACATCCAACTGACGAGTCCCAATTCGGAGGAAACACACATCCTGGATTCCACTCCTAACCACCATCCATCTCTGCTCATAATAACTGGATGGCAATTATTTAGTATATTGAGTGAACCGGCTAAAATGATGAACTGCGCACTAAGGTTTTGCTCCACATTTTTCACAAATCAAATAAGCCTGTCTATTTTCATTCTATCATGTTATATTT